TTTATTACTGGACAGGTTTATAGGTCAGAAGTCTGATTAAGAGTCTCACTGGTCTAAGATCAAGGTGTCAGCAGGGCTGTATTCCTCTGAAAACTCTACAGAAGAACCTACTTCCTTTGCCTTTTCCAGCTGCTAGAGGCCACCAGCATTCCTTGGCACATGGTCTCTTGCCACCATCTTCAAAGCCAGCAATGATGGGTTGAGCTCTTCCCATACTGCTGTCTCTATTGTTCTTCCATAATCTCATCACCTGTTCACCTCAGAAAGGTTCTTCAATGATAAACATGCAGTGAGGCTGTACACACTGAGATAATTCACCATAATCTCCCCATCTCAAGGAATTCAACTTAAGTTAATAACATCTGCAAAGTCCTCTTTGCTATGTAAGGTAATAGGTTGTGAGGATTAGGACAGAAGTATCTATGGGGGTTGGGGGAATATGATTCTGTCTACCACAGTCTGACTATAAGAGAGTGGTGCCACTCAATATTTAAACCACGTAATTAGCCTCCTTATTCTGGTTCCACATGTGCAGGGCAACTTACAACACTTTAATTTAGCTTTCCCTTTAGCTTACTTATAGGAAGAGAGTGTGTTGTTCAGGGGAAACTGTGTCCAGTGTCCTGGGCAAATACATTTTACATTATATTGAAAAATTTGTTTCCTGAGTTACACATTAGTGTCTTGTGAGTGCTATCAGAATGAGCCAGGATCTCTTTGCCCAAAAACTCTGGGACTCAGACAAACTCAATATTCTGAATCTTTAAGTTAAGGATCAGAGTCAGGGATTGGAGTAGGGGGTAATATTTAAACAAGTCTCTATCTATGATAAAAACAACCACTTGAAAATCATGTTTAAGACACTATATAAAATTAGATATATCTAAGAATGCAGTTATATGTGACTCTCTTTGATTTACAAGAATCAAATGAACAAAGAGACTACTTACAGTTTTCTGATTGTACCTGTGTGATCAAATGGTCTGAAGTAGAATGTCCTTGAAAGGCAGTAGGGAATTAAAATCAACAACTGTTAAAACTTGGAAGACATAGATTAGTGGTTGCCTAGGGCTGGGGTATTAGGGGAGATTAGGGAGTGACTGCTTATGAGTATAGGGTTTCCTTTTGGGAAAATAAAAAACTTTCTAAAATTGATTGTGGTGATGGTTGCACAATTCTGTGAATAACAAAAACAATCACTGTACTATACATTTTATGGTACTGAATTATATCTCAATAAATTTGTCAAAACAGCCTCAAAGAGAAGGCAATGAGAGGATGATCTGATTAATTACTAGGATGAAATGGGACAGGGGGTCTTAAGCAATTTATGATCTTAATAAAGATCCTACTTTAATATCTACTCTTTTCCTCCTTGTTCTTCAATCTAGCTTTTTATAGACACTGTTCTTGGAAAAATCACAATGTTCCCCATCTTTCCTTGCTTTTTTTTAGTTTACTAAGCAATTAATTTACACATAAAATATATATGACAAACTTATTCCATAAGTTATAAATAAAATAGAATGTAGTTCTGATGTTAATTCCCAACGCTCTTTACTAAAGAATAAGTATGGATGAGGGTAGGGAACATTCTCATCCTGATCCTGTTTTAGATGCTCATGCTATGTCACCCTTACTGTGTATTATGTGCTGATTCTCTATATGCTCTAAATCATTCCACAACAGCCTGTGTAAGATTCACGCCTTCTTGTATCAAGATTTGCATATTAAATTCAAAGTATTTTTGTCTTATTTTATAGTTGGAACTGTATCTATTACAGTGCTCAAAAGTGACTCCCCTGGTCTGTACAAGGTTACTATATGACCTCTCTGCACTTCTTTTTACCTGCACCCTCTTTCTCAAGAGCAATGATATCCCCTTTATCTAAATACCATAGCAGAGGAAAAACTGTTTGTCAGAGGTCACTAGATATTTATGTTCAAATTAGAAGGTCAGGCAAAGTTTGGCGTGGAGCTTTCCTGTAGTTGATATGAAAATAATCCATTAAATAGCCTCCAGTGCCCCCTTTGAATAAGTGATCAAGCCATATCAAAGAAAACACTTCTCTGAAATTGATACATTAAAGCAGTAGTTTAGTTAAATTAATAAAAGACCATTATCCAAGCTCATAAACAGGAGTTCCTTCAACCTTGAGATAAAATACTTCCTTTATATGAGCTTAGACA